CTCTTAGCACATAGAGAGGTCCAGAAATGGCAGAAATCCCCCAAAAACGTTTTTAACTTGTTCCATGGTTGGTTTTCTTCCTCTTGTGTTCATCCCCCTCTTGTGGATGCTAAAGGTGAAGCATGCAAACATAAACCTGTTGACTTTGATAGGTGCCCTGCAATGGACTAGCAACCTGTCCAGGGTGTACCCCTGCCTCTTGCCCGATGTGAGCTGGAGATAGGCACCAGAAGACCCCCGTGACCCAGAAAGGGGAGAAGCGGGCTGGAAAATGAGTTAATAAAGGAATGACTTTGATAGGATTCCTTACCTACAGTTGAACCTACAAAACAGGAAAGAAATATAAAACGATTTCCAAGTAACTGGGAATTTCTTGGAGTAATTTGAGTAAACAAAGGTGTTTGATTATAAATGGCTTCTTCCGACCACTAACTGTGACTGGAAAAAATGCTTTTGTGTTGTCATTTGTGTTTCTTGAAAAATGGCCTAGTAATCAAAAAACTGCCAGCACTTATGAGCACAACTGTATTTAAAATTGTGAAATTGTGAAGAATTGTCGGGATATAATACACTCTTATCCTTTTAGGTTCAGTTGACATGGACAGCATGCCGAAGGTAAGAGTTGCTTTTGATGAAGATCAAGATTGAGCTGCTATTACTTCTCGTAGAAGCTTTCTTTTATATTTACCCATCCCTTTCCATCTACAGAGTTCTCCAGGGAGCCTGAGCATAACAAACCCGCCGGGTACGCCGAGAGATGAAGCAGAAATGACCGGAAGTTTCCTCAACCCTTTCCAGAATGAGGCTGTAAGTGATTATTTTTTAATAAATAATACTCATGATTTAAAACGTAATGTGAAATGTTTAGTTCAGCAAAACACTTTTTAAAGTAGTGAAGACCATAAATAACTAACTTGCCTCTCTGTTTTTGGCAGTATTCTCCAAACATGACCATGAGTGTCTGACTGCACTTCAGGATGGCCATTAAATGACGCGCTGTAGCCAAACATTCTTCACAACTTTGAAGAAACATGGGTTAAGCTTCTCCAGTTTCCCACTTTCCTTTAGAATCTTTCTAATCAGAGGATTTGTTCACCTCCTGGATGTTCTCCTGTCTATGAGAAAATGCAAACCAAAACTTGTCACTGTTTATATTTAAATGTAAATCAGCGTGAGCTCAGGACACATGTTTTTGAGGGTGTAACAATAAGCCAGTTGTTACAAAGCATGAAATGTTTCAGCACTTGTTGAGACATTTAACACTTGGCCAGTCCACCGTCACAGCCATTCACAATGCTTTTCATTTATCACTACTAGCATTTATTATCATATAGAAGGCAAAGATTAGGGTTAGCTAAAAACACAGAAAACAACTCCCTTCAGGAAGCCTTGAACCAGCGACCTTCTTATTGAAAGCCTGCAGTGCCACCCACCATGCCACCCCAAACAACTAGGGGTATAACGATACACTAACTTCACAATTTGAAACGTATCTCGGTACAGGGTTCGCATTACGATGTGCATCTCAATATTTAAAATAACAATTTTATTTCTAAGACATTACAATGTTTGATTTCTGGAACGTCAAATTAGAACTGTGTCAGTTCATTTAAAAAAAGAAAATCTCACTGCAGTAAAGCTTTTTACATTAAAAGCTGGCACTTAAATTCTTTGCTGCTAAATGATCAAAAGACAAAAGTGTTAAACAGACTAAAACTAAAGATATAGGCACACATACACACACAGACCTGATGCTATGATTAGTTTGCTCTTAAACTGAAAAAAAAATCATCTCCATGTTGGTCAGGGAAAAAGGTGGAGCAGTAATCAAAATCTGGTCTCCGGGGCAGCGCTCTCAATTGAAGGTTTTGAATCATGCTCTGTTCATTCGTGCGTTTCAAGGGCACTATGAGAGAAAGTGTGGCACTCGTTTCATTAGACATTACAGTAGTGACTTTTTTTGAGCGGTTTAAGGTTTCTTTAGTATGGCAGCGCTGCTCAGTGCTCACAGTATTAAGATGATGGGCACTTATCACCTGCAGCACAGCCGTGATAGAGTTCCAGCATGTCCATGGAGCTATTCTTAACCGCACCGATGATCAGTGTGTGATGGTCCGGGCTCCAGCAGGTTTTGCTTTAGCAGTTGTTGTGGTACAGCAGTGAAAGAAAGTCACAGCTTTCTCTCTCATCCAAGAAAGCGACTGACGCGGGAACCCTGCTGACAAGAGGCCAAAACCAAAGTGCTGCCAGACGTAAGACTTGGAGTGGCCTCTATTTCCATGTCAGTTCATGTTTAACACATATTGTTAATATTCAGTTCTACATGAACTTTTTGTAACTCCGGTGAATTGAATCATCTTGTGAGATTAAACCATTGACTGTTTATAACATGGACGAAGCGTCAGTGACATCACCCATTGGTTTCTGGCAAAGTGAAATGAAGCTAAAAGTAGGCATTCGCCCCATTCCGATTCCCCGTGATACCTTGCTGCAGACAGGTTCCGGTTTCAAACAGAATGGTGGAAAAGAATCCCCACAAAATCTGAGTCCCAAAATTAAATAAAGTGGGAATTTTCATCCGGCTCTAGGCCATGCAAAGAATCTGGGAAAGATACGACTCAGGAGAAGAAATGGTCTTAGTACTCGTTTCCTTTAAAAGACACTAAACGTCTCAAACTAAAGGCAATACCATGCATCCCAGTCTGGCATCCCAGTCTGGCCACCATCTCCCACCCAGCAGAATTTGCTCTGATCACTTAAGTGACTCTCTCATATCTTTTTAATCTAATACGAGGATAATAACATCAGAGACATAAACTCATGTCTCAAACCAATTATAGAACAAACAAAGAGCCATTCAGTGAAGTATGAGCTAGTATTTAGTGGCAGCTTGTAACGCGCTACCAGTAAACCCCAGGATCAAACAATGCAGAGAAGTGGTACTCACATCCTTTATTCTCTCCAGATAAATACTTCCACACACAGCGCAAACATCAGAGACATACGTGTGTCTCGAACTAATTATAGAATAGACAAAGAGCCTTTCAGTGAAGAATGAGTTAGAATTTAGCAGAAGCAAACTCACTGCCAGGATCACAATGGGAACAACGCAGAGAAGTGAGACAAACATTCTTTATTATCTCTAAACCGATCGCCTACCACTTAATTTGAGACAATTACCACATATTTTGGGACAGGTGCCACTTTTATTACCACTGCCATGCACAGGTTTTACCATACTGGTAAAATGTTCACTTCCACCACATTGGAACCTCCTACAAGAAAATGTGTCACTTCCCGGAAATCAAAAATGGGCAAAAGATCTATCAAGGTGGGATGTGGGCGTAGAAACACACTCGACGGTCTAAAACCACATACACAAAAAAGAAACAACCAACAGTAAAATCTAAAAACAAAAAACACAAGGAGTAGCAGTTTTTCAGATGAAATTTTCTAGAACGAACCACTCTTGAGGATGACGCACGACAAAACTGGCTGAAAGAACTGTCAATCATCTGCCTGTAAAGAATTTAATGCCATTAAATTATGCACAACTTTAAGGCTTAATAGACTTCCCACCTCAGTGTTCATGAAAGTCAAATTTAGAGATCTACATCAACAAAACTAGTGGAGCCAGCGGTGGAAATGTAAGGTATTTTTTAGCTCCAAAGTTGGCAATTTGAAAGAGAACCTGCTCTGTATTGGAGCCAGTCTCTAGCAGCAGGTAGAGGAATTGCAGTTGAAGTCACTTCCTATTAGGCTTCAAGAGGGAAAGCGGGAAATCGCCCCTCGGATTGCCCAAGCAACAATGCACATCATGGCATTTTTGCTTCGCAAAATATCGTTACACCCCTACAAACAACTGTATGATTTATCTAAAGGAAACTACAAATTTGAGTCTGAAATCCAAAGGCCCCACAGGGAAATTTGAAATCATTGCACACTTTCACAAGTTAAGTTTGTCAATAAAATCACCACGTATGTTTTGTAACGGCATAAAGTGATCAGCCAAAGTGAGCCATTTAGAGAGACTGCCTCTGTGTTTGTGTAAGAGTTCTCCTGGATTGGTGTTTCAGTGGATTTGTTACTTGTAAGTGGTTTCAGTGGCACTCTCAAAGTATTATATCATAGAGCAGACATTTAACATGGGATGCTAACATTCCTTTGAGTGGAGAGGACTGTTAAAGCATCATGCATTTAAAATGTTACTCACATCCATGCATCCACTGAGATTGATATACATTTAAGTTGACAATTACAGCTATTTTGCCAAAAGTATTTACTCATGTTGATGCTCCAATCATGGCCACATGTCTACAAAAGCAAACATCTAGCACATCTCTCAGTGGTACTGTGATAGGAGGCTCCTCTGCAAGACGTCCATTACTGAAATGCTATAGACCTCTTGTGTTATGCCCTTTCTTCACACTATGCAGCATTTTTTTAATTTTTTGATATTTTACTGTAAACAAATTGAAAACCCTAGTCACAGGAACTTTTCTCAATACTGTGTTGATTAATTTTTAGCTGCTATTACAGCCTCAAGTGTTTTTAAAGTTGATATCACAACCTTGGCACACATGTTTTAGGCAGTGTTGGGAGCATGCTGAGTGGGGTGGTAGACATAAGGCTGAAGCCAGGTGCAGTACCACTACTGTTCCAGTGGAATTAGGGAGAGGACATTCAGTTTCATACATTTCACCAAGCAATTTGGGAAAAGAGGGGTCACAAAGTGTTTTTAAATGTTTTTACAGATAGCCATTCCCAAATGGTGCAAGTGTAAAACATCATCCTTTCACCCAAGTTTAAGTTGAGCAGAAATGCTAACAAAAAACCCAACTTTAAAAAGATTATTATAATGTCAGATGTTTTCATTATTTATTTATTTATGAAAATGAGCTTTTACTGGTTTTAACAATAACTTTACATTCATGCATCTGGCAGACACTTTTATCCAAAACAACTTACATTGTGAATGAATGAATTTTTTTGTCAGTTCTTGCTTTCCTTGGGAATTGAACCCAGGACCTTTGTGTTGTTAGCGCAATGCTCTACCAACAAAGCCACATTAAAGCATATTTCCTTTAAAACACACACACGCACACACACGCACACACACGCACGCATGCACGCACGCACGCACACACACATATATATATATGTTGATTTATATTATGTCTAGAAATCCAATAATTCCACATTTCACTCACGTTTAATTTACAAATGTCGATTGTTATGGATCCCTGTGAAGAACAAGAATTATGTGTAAATGATAACCATGTGATGCTCTGAAACCTAAGAATGTGTCCGTTCTTGTGAAAGCTCTTAATTATGTGACCAATACCACATTTTTCACTGTTATGATGTTCACTTCTCTAAATCGTTGCATGTGAATTCAGGAAGTGAGGATTATTTAAAGGACATAGACGCAAATTAACATCTGTATTTATTAAGCCATTGCTGTGTCCCCCGGAGAAACTGTGATTTGCTCTCTATTTTATTTCAATATTGAGGTCTTTTTATGTTTGTATAATGTTTGCTCATGTTTTCCCCAAATTTTAAAAGCAAGATTTTATGGGTGTACTATATTTGCATTACTGATGTTTAATTTTGGATTAGTGAAGTGATTCTTTTCTACCTTGTAAATACATAGAAGGTTTGGATTTACTGTAAATACAAATCATTGCTGTTAAGAGAAACTGTCAATTTATTTGCCATTTTAACGTGTAATTTTCTGAAAGTGTGGTGTAATTTGAACAATCAAATTCATCCAAAAGAATAGTTTATTGAAGTGTTGAATAAAATTCAAACACAATGAGTTTCTAGACCTAAGATCAAAGGCACTTGCAGGTCTAGACTATTTGTTATCTCCACTTTGTTATTTCTTTTCTGCTATTTTTAATAAAGTTTTGTTGCTGTGGAAAATTCCAGCCAATTTCAATAAGAAACCATACATCTCCAGCAGTTTCCTTTGAATAGTTTCCTGTTAGGAGGTTTTATGTCCTCTGGAGCATTCCTTACTTGACATTTTTACCCAGTACTTGGTACAATGCGACTGATCTTGTTCAGAAACAATCAAACCACATTGATATGATTTTTTCCAAAGCGTCCATTTAAACCCACCATATTTTTATTCAGCAATAATTTTACTCGTGAAAAAAATAGACATTTTGTATCATTTAAATTGAATAATACATAACTGAAAGTTTTAAGTCTGTGGGGCTGGTCAAATATAGGAACCCATTTTATTATTTGGTTTTTCTAGGCCATAGCTCTGGGTAGTGATTGGTTGCCTTGGCTATTGTGCTTACAATTAACCTTGTTTTTTTTAACAATAAGCATCAAAATTAAACAAACACTTGAAAGACAATGGTTAGAAAAATTGCAAAAAACAGCAAGAGGATGAACTGCAGACCACAGCCTGAAGGCACAGACAAATGTTACCTGAACCAGAAACATCAGGAATGTCTTCTCTGGGCTGTAGAGAAAATCAAGACTGTTGCTCAGTGTTCCAACATCCTTTGTTCAGATTCAAGTAAATGCTGCAGTTCATTTGGAAATAAAGGTCTCAGGGTCTGGAGGATGGGTATGAATGCACAGAATACACGTTGATTGAAGTAAATTTTCATAGTCAGTGATCATGCTGTGGTTGGTCCACTGAGTTTTCTGAAGATCACATGCACAAAATCATTTCTGAGCAATATTTGGCACCTGCACTCACTGCCTAAGAAATCAGAAGCTGATTCAATGGCCATTGTATTACTTCACTTACCTAGTCTTGTGCCCCAGAGGAAATCCATTCCCTGTCTTTGAACCCACTGCCTAGTGTCTGAAATATGTTACTATTTGAAAGGAGAGTCCTTGATGCTTTGTCCTGAGGGATCCAACACAGTTCCTGATTTATTGCCATCTCCTCTGATGCCTTAGTTTCTGGTATTACCAACTGCTACTAAATGTTTAACTTTTCAGCACCAGGATTTGCCACCACCACCACTTTAGTATTTTTTTCCCTGCCAGTGCCTGTTTCAAGTTCTGTTTCAAGGGTATCAGTCCTGTTGGCTACAGTCCATTGCCTCTTTCAGATGCTAGAGCTGGTACCATCAATTCAGAAGGTGCAGACCAAGTGTCTATCACTGTTAGCACCACCCCAGTGTCCTACAAGGATTGCAGTGATCGAGCCATTTGACATGTTGGCTCTTGTAATGTGTCATGCCCAGCCCAGCTCTTCAACTTCCTGTCTCGTTTAAGAGACTACCCTGTGCCCTATCACTGTATTCTCCCCTCTTTGATCCACGTATATCATGCATCTGCTGGTCATCTTGTCCCTATGAATGGATTTGGCAGCTCCTGTTTTGTTTATTCTTGTGTGCTCTGCAGCCAATCCTAGGTTTATCACACTTGGCTGGAGAGTTAGATTGTCAAACAGAGATATTGGCTCTGTAGCCAAGTGTAATAACCCCACAATTTGGTTCACGGCTATGTGTTTCAGCCATTTGTTCTCCCTTCATATAGTCCCTTCTCAATGCTGGATAACTGTCTTACACACCTTAAACCATGTTACCGGTAACTCCATATTAATAATCTGTATTAACAATCTCTGTTATGAGTTGATTCTGCTGAAATTATGTGTTTAGTTCATCACCCTGAGTTTAATGTGTTTGGTGAGTATGTTCACAATCAAGCATGCTTTTTATTGTTTTTTTTTAACCAGTAAATAACCAGTAGTTTCACCAAACATTTTTCACGAGGAGATTAGGGGTAACTATATAGCTAAACTTTGTTTATAAACTTTGATGTTGACTTGTAAAAGTGCCATTTAAAGGGTATTTTTATTAGCAAAATGGAAATTTTATGGTTGCTATAGTTGAGTCAGTGATCTCATACAACGTTGCCCTTTCCAATATGAGTAATATAAACCAACCTCCAAATCTCTATGATTTTCCTTAGCAGAGTTAATGGTTGCTATGGTAAACAGACATGTTGCTAAGGAGTGGACATAATATTATAATCCTTCTGTTACTATAAGTTATATAAACGAACCAAAATGTCTTAATCATTTACCAAAGCTGAGATAGAATGCCAAAAAAATGGTTTGGTTGTCAGGTAGCCACCGGTGATGTCATAAAGAATGTGTTGTGTTACTATGATTAGCATAAACAAACCCTCGTTTATCCTTTATAAGTCAAGGGGAATTTTAACCCTTTTCTAGAGACAGAGGTTCAAATACATTTGCACAGATTGATAAACTCCACAGATGTGGTCTGTTTGAGGTGTGTCTATGGGTATTTGGAGTGTCTATGGGTTTGACCCCATGTTAGGCCTATGAAAAATTTCTTAGAATTCTCAGTAATTTCCCAGATTTCCTTTGATGGTACCTGTCTGAATATATATATAGCACTTGATGTCAGACCAGTTTGGATATTTTGGCAAAGATTGGTGGCTGAAGCTCAAGTGATCAAGCAGGAGATGTGCTTAGAATTTTTTTGTGCAAGGCAAAAGTAGAATAACAACACAAATTGCCACCAGCTGCTCCCATTGATACCTTCCCGAGCTCTATAAGCTGCCTAATAACTCCGCAGTATCTGACAATTGAACAACAATAAATTTTGATCAAGTATTTTATTATAACTGAATCTTTAAATATTTCCCTTTAAGTACAATGAGCAGCAACTGAGCAACAAATTTATTTTGTATTTTCTGATTTGCATTACATGATATTGTTTCAAAACCTTAATTTGACATGCCTATATTTCAAATAATGTACTCTCTTCGAGAAACTCCTTTCAGGACATTTAATTTCCAAAGACATTTATTGGTGACAAGTTTCCGAGAATCAGTCGTGAAGGGATTAGAATGAAGCTGAATCTCTGTTTAAATTGAGTGTTAAGTGTTTTAGTTGCAGTGATTTTCTCTAGGACAGTGTGGTTACATCACTCAACTCTCTGCAGGTTTATTTTTTGCAGGTATAAAACAGCTCATAATAAAAGATGTGATTACATCACATTCCGTGTTTTACAACAGCACTAAAGCACAGAAGGCCATTATGTGCAGGAGAAATGCGACACTGCGGCTCATAGTAAGTGAGATGTTTCTGGTGTCTTTGTATTATGACTGATAGTTGATTTTAATATATAGAGTTACTGAAAATGAATTTGAACTAAAGCTTTGCCGTGCTTCAAGTAGTTTAGTTTAAAAAAGATGTACAGATCTAGACTTTCCTGTCAATCATCTTTCACAGTTGAATGTTTTTAGTGGGAATGCTTTTCACATTCAAGCATTAACCAGAAAAAAAACTCTTAAAAGGCAAATATTGAGTTTTAGTTGTCTCAATGGGCTCTTGCTTTATTTAGCACAGCTCTTCAATATAACATCCCTGCTGTGTTGAGTTTTGGGGTACTCAATGCTCCAGACCCCGCTGAGATGTAAAAAATGTAATTTTGTTCTAATAATCAATCGAATACATATTCACCAGAGCTTCTTCTGCATTATTGTGGAAATGTATTTATTTACAAATATTTTTTTGATCTGTGAAGTTTTTTAAATAATTTTTTAAAGGGATTTTAAAAAGAACGCATTGAAAACTGTCCATGTCATAATATGTCTTAAAGGTCATCCAGATAGTCCATTTGGTTGTGTCCTAATGTGCCCTTGATTGTTTGTTCTCACATCGATCTTGATTGCGTGTTTATCTGCACTGTAGACCGTCTGAAATAGCATTTCACTCTTGTAATCTGCACATTGAGTTAAATGCACATTTTTTGTAGGACGTCCAAGTTGGCCAAAGTTGAGGTCTTCTTCCAAAAGAACGACTGACCTCTGATTTGACTTGTGGATTTGGTTCAGAAAGGATGGAGTTAAGCTGCTCAAGGACAGTTGAGAGCCATGAGAAGGGGAACGGATCCAGCCCATTTGAGGTTCAGATGTGCCAGTCCATCCTGCCCTGCCATGCCAACCATCAAGGAGAGCTGAGCGCTGGACAGCTGCTGAAGTGGATGGACACCATCGCCTGTTTGGCTGGTCAGTGATCATTTGATCGATTTACAAGCATTCGCTTGTAATCAGTAAGAATTATATA